GAGAAAGGCTGGATTCGGCCTAGCTCATGGCCATACGGTGCTCCTGTTCTCTTCGTCCGGAAGAAGAACAAGGACCTGCGGTTGTGCATCGATTATCGCAAGCTCAACGCGCAGACAATAAGGAACGTCGGCCCTCTCCCACGCATCGACGACCTTCTCGAGCGACTAGGCGGTGCCAAGTTTTTCTCCAAGCTGGACTCAAGTCGGGATATCACCAACTCGAGATTCGCAAGGAGGACCGTTACAAGACCTCGTTTAAGACGCGATATGGGCATTTCGAATGGCTGGTTATGCCATTTGGCCTTACGAATGCCCCGGCCACTTTCCAAGCGGCTATGACAACGGAGTTCCGACACATGGTGGATCGATACGTACTTATCTATCTCGACGACATCTTGGTGTACACTCGGAGTTTGGAGGAGCATGTGGAACACCTGCGCACCGTTTTGGAGCGGCTACGACAGGCCAAGTACAAAGCAAACCGCGACAAGTGCGAGTTCGCACGGCAGGTGCTGGAGTACTTGGGACATTATGTGACGCCGCAAGGCATCCGTCTGCTTGCGGACAAGATCGAGGCCCTAGGAGTATGGCCCGAGCCCACCAACACCACGGACGTTCGTTCATTCATGGGATTGGCGGGCTACTATCAGCGATTCATCACCGGATACTCAAGGATTGTTGCACCTATGACGAGGTTACAATCGCCAAAGGTGCCATTCGTATTCGATGACGACGCACGCCGAGCATTCCAAGCACTTAAGACGGCCATGCTCATGGCACCCGTCCTCAGCATCTATGACCCCACCTTGCCGACGAGAGTGACTACGGACGCTTCCGGCTATGGCATTGGGGCAGTCTTGGAAAGGCACGACGGCGACCACTGGCACCCTGTGGAGTATTTCAGCCACAAAGTGCCTCCCATCAACTCGCTTGATGATGCAAGGAAGAAGGAGCTACTCACGTTCGTCATGGCTCTCAAGCGATGGCGGCACTTCCTCCTTGGGCGTCGTAGGTTCACATGGGTTACGGACAACAATCCATTGACCTACTACAAGACGCAGGACACGGTGAGCAGCACGATTGGACGATGGATGTAGTTCATCGACCAGTTTGACTTCACACCGAAACATCTTCCCAGCCTCTCAAATCGCGCAGCAGATGCACTCTCGCGAAGACCAGATCTTTGCGCTATGACACATCATGCCTTCGCATTCGACGAGGAGCTTCAGCGACACTTCATCCGGGCATATGAGTCTGATCCGGACTTCGCCACGCTGTACGCACAGCTATCGGATCACCCGCCGGCCAGCCACTATCGCATCGCCGACGGATACTTGCTCCTCCACTCGAGAGGCAAGGACTTATTGTGTGTCCCACGCGACCGTCGTCTTCGGACTCGCCTCCTCGGCGAGTATCATGATTCACGACTCGCCGGTCATTTCGGAGTCAACCGCATTATTGTGACTCGTGCGAAGTTTGCCGACGCAGCAAACCCCGCAACCGCAATCCCTATGGCAAGTTACACCCGATGCCTATCCCACGGGAACCCGGTCTCTCCATTGCCATGGACGTCACCGGTCCGTTTCCTCGTGACCGGTTTGGGCACGACGGCATCCTCACGGTTGTGGACCGATTGAGTAAGTACGCGCGTTTTCTCCCTTGCAAGTACTACTCCACGGCTCCCGAGCTGGCACGCCTCCTGCACACTGGTTGGATTTGTGGCCATGGTGTACCAGAAGACATTGTCAACGACCGCGACACTCGTTTCATGTCGGCGTTTTGGACTGCTCTCATGCAGGCGTCCGGCACAACAATGAAACCAAGTTCGGTTCGGCATCCTCAGACAGACGAGCAGACGGAGCGGGCACATCAAACCGCTCAAATGATGCTTCGTACGCTCATCCGTCCGGACCAGAAAGATTGGGTTGACCGCCTCCCCAACATCGAGTTCGCCTACAACATTTCGGTGCACCCGGCGATCGGCGTGACTCCATTCGAGTTGCACCACGGTGGACGGAAAGGCCGTATCTTTGCCGACCTTCTCCTCTCTCGACCAGCCGACATTGACGCTGCCTGCTCTCCCGCTTCCGTCCAGAAGTACAGGGAATTTCCGACTCAAGCCCGAGCAAACATGCAAAAGGCTCAAGTCCGCATGCAGTAGCAAGCCAACAGGCGTCGCGTACCATGTCCCATCCGCGCCGGTGATCTGGTTTTGGTCTCCGCGGAAGAGTTTGCAATGGAACAGGAGGTTTCACGCAAACTGCTTCCCAAGTGGTTTGGACCTTGGTCTATGATAGCAGTCGCGGGCGATGAGCCCGATGGCCCTTCATTTGTGATCAACATTCCAGAGCATCTGACGGTCCATCCGGTCTTCCACGCCTCGAAGCTGGCAACATAAACGCCAGCCAAGAGCGACGACTTTTCGGGCCGACAATCGCAGGACCCTCCCTCTGTGGATGGTCATCAGGAAGTTGACCGCGTCATCTCCGATCGCAAGTACGGCAGCAAGCCGTAGCAGTACAAAGTCACATTCAAAGCATGCGATCGCGACGACACTCGGTGGATTTCAGGCGCAGATTTGAAAGCATCCGCACCGCTGATCTACGCGCATTATGAAAAGCGGAGGTTAGCTCAGGAAGCTTCATGACCAGCCCCTCGCACCCGGACTGTGGTCCCTCCCTCAGAAAGACAGCTTCGCCCTCGCAGGTAAGCTCGGTTCTTCAAGGAGGGGGGGGTGTGGCATACTGCATAGCCACACGGGCCCTGCAGGGCCCGTCCCGGACATTCGGCCTAAAAGCCTAAAACTTAGGGCTTACAGGCCCGTCGTTTCAGCCTGAAAGCTGAAAAACGAGGGCCTGCAGGCCGTACTCCGTTTCAGCCTATTTCAGACCCAGAGTTTTTCCAGCCTGAAACGGAGGGCCATTTTCAGGCCCTCATTGTTTCAACCGGCCCCTAAGAATCAAGCACGTAAACAGGGATGCGGAACAGGCCAGAAATAACCTGTTCCTCACGAGCTCGAGCAGGAGCTGCAGCTGCAGCGCCTGCCTCCTTTCGACATTGGCAAGAGCAGCCTCCTGAACTGCTCGCACGGCTCAGGAGGCACACCCGGTAGTACATAGGAAGTTCCCATGCACTTCACGGGTAGGTAGTTGTCAGTAGGCACGAGTAGTCTTCAGGATTCGGCCGCAACACTTAGGAGGAGCGCTGCAGTAGTCTTCAGCGCAAGGCAGTAGTATTAGCGCTAGCTGTAGTCTTTGGCGCTGGGCGCCCATAGCTAGAGTAGTCTTCAGCGCTGGGCGCTGGTAGGTGGTAGATCGTAGAGTTGGGAGAGACACTGGCGGAGGCCAGTGGTACTTACCTGTGGCGCCATCGCTCCACCTCCATCTTCGTGGTGCGTGCATCAAGGCGCCAACTTCACAGGTTAGTACTGGACACAGAGAGAGAGAGAGTTCTTCTTCTTCCTCTTCTAAGTCCACCATCTCTTCTCACCCTCTCGCCACCTGACTTCTCAGACTACGACAGAGAGAGAAAGAGTTGTGACTTGAGACTTGACGACATTGGATCCAGACTGGACATTGGGATTCAGACATTTCGACGAGGGACTATTTGGGCCTGTACCGAGACTTGGTGTTGACGGCATTCCCATCTTCCATCCTCTTTCGTCTAACCCCTCCTTCTTCGTTTGTGTATGGTTGGGGCTGGCGCAGTCTTCTTGTGTGAAGCGCCAGACCCCCTTCACACCAGATAACGATGATGATGATGTGTGTTCAGGGCTGCATTGCAATATGGATTGTTCGGATCATTCGTATCTAAGTCTTCCGCTGTGTTATCTTGTACTTTGTATTGAGAAGTCGGTTCTTGTTCTGGTCTGCACGTTACGGTATGCAACACTCTCTCTCTCTCTCTCTCTCTCTCTCTCTCTCTCTCTCTCTCTCTCT